CCATTGGGTATGTCTCTACCCCGCCTCAGCACTTTACTTGTACTTTACTTGTTTAGCTCTCTGACTTTCGTCACAACAGAGCTGCCGTTCAAGGATGGGACCAAACAGGTGGGTTAACCAGAATTTTTCATGCTCGCGCTGAATATAGGGATTGAAAAAAAAAAAAATCAAGGTGGTTTCGGATAATCGAAGTTGAGCCGAATGCAAACCTAACAACAATTCAAATTGGAAGAACTTCGAATGTGTCACCGCACTGTCCTAGTGGGCTCAGAGTGATTGTTGCTGTGATCTAAACACATCTAGTTGTCGTGAAATGGTTATTAATTGATAAACAAATGCAGGTTCGAACGGTGCAAACTTATCGTTCCCGGACCTCTTCGACATTGGAGGAAAATCTACCCGAGATACAATGCTGGTTGGACTCTGTAATGCCGCCCCATATATCAGCAGCGCAGTTGTAGGTTGTTGGATTTCTGATCCTCTGAATAATCATTTCGGACGCCGGGGAACCATATTTGTCGCCGGAAACTTCTGCCTGTGGAGTGTGATCGGTAGTGCATTCACGACAACATGGCAAGAGCTTTTTATTTGCCGTCTTATACTAGGACTTGGGATGGGTGCGAAAGCTTCGACAGTTCCTGTATATGCGGCGGAAAACTCACCTGCAGGTGCGTTCGCTCTTTTCTTCCCTCAACTCAATATCATAACCTCAAAGCTAATTTTTGATTAGCCATTAGAGGTGCGCTCGTTATGTCCTGGCAAGTATGGAATGCTTTCGGGATTTTTCTCGGCTTTTGCGCAAATTTGATAGTCGCGAACGTTCCTCGAATAGCCTGGCGTCTTCAACTCGGCTCTGCATTCATACCCGCTGTACCTCTTTGTATCCTTATCTTCTATTGCCCAGAAAGTCCCCGCTGGTATATGAAGAAGGGGCGATATCCAGAAGCATATCAGTCTTTGTTGAAGCTTCGGAACAATCCCCTACAAGCTGCGCGAGATCTTTACTATATCCACTCCCAGCTTGAGCTGGAGGCAGAGATTGTTGGAAACCATACTTACTTGACACGGTTTACACAGTTGTTCACAGTGCCTCGGTTAAGAAGAGCGACGCTGGCTAGCTTTACAGTCATGCTGGCTCAACAAATGTGTGGAATCAACGTCATTGCGTTTTATTCATCGACTGTCTTTCAAAAAGCTGGTGCCGGCAGGATCAATGCACTTTTAGCTTCATGGGGGTTTGGTCTAGTTAACTTTATCTTTGCATGGCCGGCTATATGGACAATTGATACTTACGGCAGACGAACATTGTTATTATTTACGATTCCTAACATGGCTTGGAGTATACTTGCTGTGGCGCTTTGTTCATTGATACCGGATTTGAGTCGAGCACATCTAAGCATTATGGCGCTGTTCATATATGTTTACGCTGCTTTCTACAGCCCTGGAGCTGGTCCAGTTCCATTTACATACTCTGCTGAGGTATTTCCGCTATCGCATCGTGAAGTTGGAATGGGTTGGGCTGTTGCTACCAACTTCTTTTGGGCCGCTGTATTAAGCATTACTTTGCCTAGAATGCTTGATGTCTTTACTGTTGCCGTAAGATATGCATTCATCTGAATCAGACAGAACCTCTATTGATATGGTTGCTAATTTTTCATATAGGGAACTTTCGGTTTTTACGCCGGATTAAATCTCATTTCATTATGCATGATATTTTTGTGGGTACCGGAAACCAAGCAACGTACACTCGAAGAACTGAATTTTGTGTTTGCTGTTCCCACGCGCACGCACATGCATTACCAGCTTACTAAAGCTCTACCGTGAGTTGCATTCTCTTCTCTCGACAGTAAATAGCATCATTGACTGAATCAAATAGATGGTGGATAAAACGATATGTTTTGCAGCAGAAATACGCAACCCTCGAACCACTATACGATTTTGAGAAACCAATAGGCCAACGAGAAATCGACGAATTACATGAAAATGATAGGTTGAGAGCCCAGAGGAGACAGGATAGTGAGTGGATGGCAAAGCGTCAAAAACAAAGCTTTGTTGGAGGCGGGGAGGCCCCCAGAGGAAGCACTCCCATTAGCAGGAGGCATCTATGATGTATTATCATAGAGGTGCTGCATTTTGTTTCAAACAGGTTTATAACGCTCAAAATTTCGACTGAGGTAATTCCCCCTTATCTCAGCCAATCTAACAATCAAAACATTCTTCAATCTATCACTCAAATGGAAATCACTTAATTATTCTTTGACTTTTATATCGTGAATTAACCCATGATCCTTGGTTTCACTATTTCGAGTCGACTTTCAAGATATAAAATTGTGTGGAATGATCAACAGTTGCTGGTTACTTTTACGTAAGTTTGATTTCAATTTCCAGTGCATGTTGAGTGTTCAACGGAGTAGCTAGGATCTAATTAACATCTAATCACTTAGATAACTGGAATTTCGATATATTCAGTGTGCATTCGCCGCCAGTCTTCCAGACCAGGCTCATTGCGCAGCTCGACCACTCGGTAAACATTAATTACCCGATAAAGGAGTCGTTCTTGTAGGCGTGGAAGGGATGTAGAATCATCAATGCTATGGATTCAGATTGTATATTGATCCACTACCGAGGCGTAGTCATCCTGCAAGGAAATTTTAAGTCTTCCATATTGGTAATGATGATGATGATGGGCATATACTATACTTGAATTTTGAACTCTCTTGTTTCACTCCATTTAGTCGATATTACACGGTGCTGAACTGTAAAGCCCCTATAAGTTGGAAAATCTCCGCGCCCTTTGTGTAGTCGCACTTTTTATATGTCCGCAACACCGAGCTCCTCGCATTGAACCGCACTTATTCTCATATTCCCCGCATTTTGAAGTAACGCTCAAAAACTCCGTCGTATATATGCGTTAATCATGCATTGCAAGCCGAAACTTATCCGAAGTGTGTTCATGTAGTTGTGTTTGAGTACATATATCTTGCCAAATCTTGCCATCTCGTCTCACTATCCATGCTCTTCTAATTCCTCTTCTCTCGAGGAACGCAAAACAGCATGCTTCAAGAAATTATCTCTCTCCCAATATGGGCACACATTACGATCTCAGTATCTATTTACGTCCTGAGTGCCGTATTCTTTGCAATCATAGACCCTCTCCGCCATATTCCAGGACCGTTCCTCGCACGCTTTACTCGAGTTTGGTATTGTTGGGAAATATACAAAGGCGATTTCGAACGTACCAACCAGCAATTACACACTCGATATGGCCCTATTGTCCGCATCGCACCGCATGAATACTCAATTGATGATGTTAATGCTGCCAAAGTCATCTACTCTATTAGTGGAGGCAGTTTTCCAAAAGCGCCATGGTATACGGCATGGCAGCCTCCGAATCTCAATCCAGCTTCGATTTTCTCTGAACTTGATTCACATAACCACTCTGTACAACGACGTAAGGTCGCAAATTACTATAGTATGAGTTCTATGGTTGGATATGAAGGCCATGTGAATAACTGTTCCGAGTTACTCTCACGAAACTTGGTGGAATTGGCAACTTCGGGAGATTTTGCTAATATGCAGCATTGGTTGCAATGCTATGCGTTTGATGTTATTGGAGAGATTACATTTGGTCAACGCTTTGGATTTTTGGATAAGGGAGAGGATAAGGATGGTGTGTTCAAGGCAATTGATAATGGAGGATGGTATTCTACATTTGTTGGAATTTGGAGCTGGCTTCACGCTTGGATATTCCCATTATTGCCTAAAACTGGCGGGATGGCATATATAGTCAAGTTCGCAGCGGATAGAATTGCAGAAAAAACAAAGGTGTTGAAAGAACAAAGTGGCGACAGGAAAGAAGAAGGCACTGCAGATTTCGTGACGAGGATTCTGATGGCTTCTGAAAAAGACCCTGGGAAGATTACGAAAGGAGATTTGGCTACCACATGCCAGTCCAACATTGCTGCAGGAAGTGACACAACAGCCATTACCCTTTCGAGTGTGCTTTACCATTTGTTGAAGTACCCACATACCTTTCAAAAGCTGCGAGACGAGATCGAAACTGCGGCAAAGGAGGGAAGAATATCAGATCCTATTACCTTTAAAGAAGCCCAGGGACTACCGTATCTACAAGCAGTTCTCAAAGAAGGATTGAGAGTCCATCCTGCTGTGGGTCTCGGGCTACAACGAATCGTGCCAGCCGAAGGTACTACCATCGCAAACCAATTCATACCAGGTGGCTCTACAGTAGGCATCAATGCATATGTGGCTCATAAAAATACCTCCGTCTGGGGTTTAGACGCCGATCAATGGAGACCCGAAAGATGGCTCGAAATTGAGAAGCAAGGTCGAGGTGGAGAAGTAGAAAAGTACTTCTTCGCTTTTGGCATGGGATCGAGAACTTGTATTGGCAAGAATATTAGTCTTTTGGAAATCAACAAGCTGATACCGCAATTGGTGAGGAGATTTGACTTTGAGTTGGATCCGGATGTGGAGAAAAATGGGGGGTTAGTTTGTGAGAACAGATGGTTTGTCAAGCAAAAGAATTTTAGAGTAAAGATTTTGGGAAGGAGGGACGGTAACATCGAATAGGATCGGATTTTGTCTTATGTCTGAAATGTTTTGATTGGGCTTGTTGATTTCAATGATTTGGAACTTGAAATTTGGGGTTGACAACGGTAGGTGATAGAGAGGGGAAGTATCTAGGATATGATTGGATCGGTAACAGATCTTGGGGCAAATTATTTATTCCAATACAAATTTAATAGTCGTGCGTCTTGATAGAAATATAAGATGTCTGCGATGCTATCAAATAATCAAAGTATTTAAATCGACCTCGACGCTTCAAACACCATATAACCTCAAGGTTAATTATGTAACTTCACGCTAAATAAAGTTCCCACTCCTAAATCCATGACCTCATTATCCTTCCACTCTGCCAGGTCCTCCAACCCACCTCAAAACAACAATCAATTTCACGTTCCTCCTTCACACATTCAAAAATGTCTCAACCATTCATCCTGACTCTCCGCCTCGACGCCTCCTCCGAAAAACTCCTCACAGCCCTCCGGACCCGCTATTTTCCATCTTCTCGAAACTACCTCTCTGCACATGTAACTCTCTTCCATGCCCTTCCCTCTTCCCAACATTCTGTTTAAAAATCCACACTCTCTTCCCTCTCATCACGAGAGCAAAAATTCAAAGTGGGTATCAAAGATCCTTTTCCCTTGGGAAAAAAAGGTGTCGCGCTTAACATTGCATCTTTCAAACTACGGAAGATTCATGAAGAGTTACTTGGAGAGTTCAGAGAAAAGGGTGTGCAATTGACGGAACAGGATGACAGGAAAGTAAGACCGCATGTTACGGTGCAGAATAAGGTTGAAGAGGGGGAAGCAAAGAGAACGTTGGAAGAGATGAAGAGGGAGTGGATGATGAATGGAGACGGGAATGGGGGAATAGGGGGAATGGCCGAGGCGATTACTTTGTGGAGGTATGAGGTCAGTGGGGAGTGGACGCATTTGGAGGATTATGAGTTCGCGTGATGGAGGATTGGATGAGGGGAAGATGGAGGAAATTCGTTGTACAACAAGATCTGAAAAATGATCATCATTCACGAAAAATGATTGAGAAGATACTTGGTATCTTAAAGCAAAGATATTCACCCAACACATGACCTTACATCCAGAATCGTCATTTCTTCTATTGCAATATGGATTTCAAAACCGATTATGAGGAAATGATATAGAAAACTTCTTTTCCGGCTACTCTTTTGTGTGGTTCTCCAGAGCGTATTCTACCCATATTTCTGGAAGTCCAAGGATCTTGGTTTCCAATACTTCCAAATCTACCAACCTCAAGAATATTTGGAAAACCAATCCTAAACTTCTACGCAGTATCCAGAATAAACGGTCCCTATTCAGAGTATTAGTACCGCCCTCTTCACCATGACTATTCTTCCCTTCATAACTCACAATAAAGACCAAATTTCGATTCACAATCTTCCAGAGTCCATTCGCCTTCTTCCACGTATCTTCATACCTGCCCGTCGCAAAAAGGGTTTGACTATCATCCTCTATAACCGGCGACGTATGCGGTAAGAAAAAATGACTAGCTTCAAGATACGTTATGGAGATCGCTGAGGTGGGCGAACATATAGCTATATACTGGGTACCGTATCTATGATGCGTCCCCGAGAATTGATTAATTTGGGCTGCAATCGCATCTGTGATATTTTGTAGTCCATATAGAACTGGTAACGGCGCTGAATAATTCGCTCGGGCGTCTGGAGCGAAGACCCGTGAGAATGCTTGCCACTGGGTTGGGAAATTGGGTGTTAGGATATAAGTACTTGGTATTTTGGAGTGGATATTGAGAGGTTGTAGGGAAAGTAGCTCTGTTAATCTTTATCTTACATTTCGTCCATCAATGGCAAATGCATATAAAGATAATGTGTTACGGATAGTTTCTATAGCAATGGGATCTGTGAGAGGTGATATGGGGAGGATTTCTGCGAGTTGATATGAGGATGCTGGACCGGGAGATATGTTAGGACATCTTGAGGATTCCAAGGAGATAGCGCGAGATATCAGTCCTGTTGAAAGGACTAGACATTTGAGAAATTGCATTTTGAGAAATGAGGAGTGTTGAAGAGGTTTAGTAAGAGTGATATTTATTGGGAATTTCAGCAAAATCGCAGTGGTTATAAAGTAAGATACTCGAGTGCTTTACCCCTCATCCTACCTCACGCGATGTAACTATACCATCCCTTACTTTCACCTGCAGCCAATAAGATCCATGAAGCGTTCGGCAGAGCTCCCCATGTACTTAGCGGGGCATGACGGGCGAATCCTTCATCTTCTACACGGGGCTTAAAAGATCACATACATAGCATTTTCTGATGCGGAATGATGATTGATTGGTTCTTGGTTGCCGAACTTCAAGATTATTTGAGGCAAGGAAAGTCCTCGTGAGGAGTACCATATACACTTTTTCTTTTGAGAAATATCATCAGGAGTAGAATTGTTTGAATCTCATGCCTAGAGACTGGAATATTCGTCCTATTTAGGAAATTGTTTTAAAATAAAACGTGTTGGTTGCACTGCTATTGGCTGAAAATCTGAACTGATGAATTGCTGAAATCCAAATAGGGGAAACTCCAGAAAATGCAGGAAATTTAAACCTTGGTCTAAAAATGAATCACTTCCTCTTGCTCACCTTTTTCAAATCTCGTTGTGAAATTGAAACTCATGTGATTGGAAAAGACGCAATGAGGAACAAGATTTGACTCGATCAGCTTTTAGATATGCTCTGGCGAGACAATAACTTCACAAAATAGTGATTATCTAGAAGTTTATCATATTAAACTAGACGCAAACAGTAGAACTAATGATTCGGAAACTTGCATGCAAACCCCTCAATTCAACTCAAAGACAATAAACGAATGCGCAACCTTCGCCCCCCCACACTTCGTCAATTCTACTCAAAAATTCCACGTCTGCGCTCAAGTACTCCTCACTCCAACCCCCTTAAAAACACCTAATAGTGCACTCGATCATGAGAATAAAAGTTTAAACTCCAGAGAAAGGTCTACACTTATTCGCGGCACAAAATCCATCACAGCATGATCCGAGAAATTGTCCGTTTCGGTAGCAATCGCCTATTATTATGAGATTAGCGTTTTTCTTACCATATTTTCCCTTCGCCTCCTTTTATCTCTCTCTCCCTCTCTATCTTCCCCTACATCACATATCTCCTTATTTTCATTCTCAAATCCAACCCCAAATTCCCAATAAAAAGAAAAAAGAAAAAAAAAACTCACCATAATTAGGAATACACCTCTCATCCGTCACCTGACAACTCACCCCCGTAATCGGGGTCGGAGGCCCCACACTAACAATCCCTCCATTATTCACCAACGCAACCGCGTTATCATGGTAGAAGGTACAGAGATTAAAGACGTCGAAGTTGGAGGAGCGGATGAGAGAGATGGAGAGGGGGTTATCTGGGTGTGTGAGGTTAGATTTTGGGGGGCTTCAGGGTGGAAAAAAAAAGATGAAAGAGGAAGGAGGGGGAGTTGAGGGAGAGAGGGAGAGAAGGGGAAAGTACTCGTAGCGTGAAATTGTCCATCCGCAGGAACTGTCAAACTGTAACTTGCTGGACCCCCGATGAGAGTAATATCTACATCGAAGTAACTGGCAGGCGCAGCTGCGACTCCGCTGATAGCTGCGAGACCTAGAGATAAGAGGGTGGAGAATTGCATTTTGATTGTTTGGATATGTTTGAAAATTTGGAATGATGATTCAATGTATGAGATAGTAATTGTAATGGTGATGATGAAGAAAAACTCTTACCTTCAGGAACTATCCAGAACTTATATACTCCAATTCCCCAGACTGTCACCTCATCTTTACTCTCGTATATCCAGCTCCTCCATCTCCAAGATACCACTAAGCATACTAGGTACCTCATAAGCTTAATCCCACCACCCCGCCATCGTTGCGCTGTCAGATTCAAATCATCGCTCGTACCCGTCCCTCAGCACCCGCTATCCGAGACCCCAAGCTCCCCCATATCTCACCAACATTAAACATATTACAACTACCTATAAAAATCACCGAACCCGAGATACGAGCATCACCACCTAAATTCAGCTCTCCCCACCCACAAGTCTCGTAAAACCCACCAACTAGTAGAAAATTCCCCAGCAGCCCAAAGTTTAAAATCACGAAAAAGATTTAAGAATGTTATAAATAGTTTGACGATCCATTCGCGATGGCATGATGTGGAGAAGCTGTTCTTCAGGTGATGCGGGCGGATCAGTAAGGTTCGTGATGTGTGGTTAAGCGATGAAGTCATGGTCTGATGTCCCGCTTACCGCCAAGACGGATCCGCGTTGAGGCTGAGAGCGTGCGGTGCTACGATACGATATGCCACGTGATTCACGTGAACGATACGAGATGGGGTTGCTAATGGCTTGGAAAATGAGGAGATAAATACGAATGGCTGTGTTGAGGTGGAAGATGGAGATTGGGCGGTCAGAAACTTCAATTTTTGGATTTGATTGAATAACTCGAGTAGTTTGGAATACAAAATTTATTTTGAAAATTGTACATATTGAGAACTTGGTGGAATTTTACTTGAAATTGTGGATTATCTTGACATTGAAGGTACGAAGCTTCCTCGGAAATTCAAAAATCAACGCGCGTGTATTGTTCAGTAATATCTTCAACTTGCTAAATACGAGACGAGACACTTGTCCAATCCACTTCCTGTGATCAAAAGCTGGCGCCTGTCCATAGGGATATGCATACGTGCCTAATTTCCCTCCACACTCATAACGGTTCGAACGTGTTCAAACTTGAGAAGCCCACCCTTGTGACTAGCAAGCAATTTGGCCGTCTTCAGAATATTTTTAGTTTGTCTTCCGTTGATGTTTGAATCGGCCAATTTGCCAACCTCAACATCAGTGATTTGATGATGATGTTCTTGATCCTCTCCACGCCATAGAAAGTTTCTCCAAATCTTCTCTCTAGCATTCTTGTCCAAATCCTTGTAATTCATGCTTAAGTGAACGCGTGATCTGAAAGCAGAATCAATATTGTTTACACGATTTGTAGTCATGAATTAAATTCCTTCATAATATTCAAGTGTTCATAAGAAGATCGAAACAATCTTGTTGCGCTCCAGGGAGTTTGAACTTTGTGTCTCTAAGAAAACATCACATTCGTCCAACAATAGGACCGCATTCCGACTGGTGACCATCTGAAGGACTGAACGCAAAGTTGACTCAGCGTCTTTGCATTCTGTTCCCAAGTCTCCGGCCGAAAGCATGTAGAGCGGGACTCGCATTTGCTCGGCAACAGATTCGGCAGTCAAAGTTTTCCAATCCCAGGGCCACCTGAAAGCAAAAAGATGATGCCTTTACCCTTGCCGCCAATGACATCATCGAACTTCGAAGGGGTTGAAATCTGAGAAGTTGCGATGGCGTGAATCACGTCCTTTTGTGAAGGAGAGAGAACTAAACTTTAAAATGCAGAGTTGCTCCAGGCGATGTCGGTCGGAACATCAACCAGAAATTTGAACTAAAGTTTCTCTTTTAGCGCATATCCTTTGAGAAGAGGTGAAAAAATGATGAGATGTTCTGAGCGGAGAGGTTTGATGGTGGAACAGGAAAAATCTTTATCAGTCTTCAAAGTTGAGTTTCTAGGAGAGCCATCGACTTCGTCCTCGTACAGCCCGTACTCATCGTTTTCATAGTCTGACTCTGGATCGACAATTTCAGAAGCCCTCTTATGGTCAACAGCCTTGAGGGACGAAACTTTGTTGGGATTGAATTTGCCATATGCACGAGTATCACTGACGATAGTATTAATTAGTGATTGTTAGCGGAGATGAAAGAGAAATACTTACATAATGATGCGACTATCAACGGTTACTTTGATAGGGCAGCCACATTCTGGATCTTCACCAACGGCAAAGGACTTGAAATATCTGTAGTGATAACCAAGATATTTTTTCAAATAGCTTTACGCGTTTGTAAAGCTCAGCTTTGATCTTCTTTTGATCTGGATGAAACTCGAGTGGAAAAATCGGAATTGTATCGATCTCAGTCGTGCCTAGAAACTCTGGAATCTCGTGGTGAACCAATTCAAAGCCAAATTTCTCACCATCCCAATTCACAACTTGACAGTCAACTCGATAGAAGTGGCCCTTCTTCTCATCGTCGATAGGACAGCCATAAACAAACTTTATAGTGGAAGCACGACCCCATATTTGCGTGTATAGTATCCAACCTAGTTGAAAAATAGTCCAGAAATGATCGTAGGTAACAACTTTGTTTTCAATGTAGTCGATCCTAGCCTCGGTCACATCTTTGAGTTCTGGCTCGAGAATCTTTTGTAAAGGAACAACCTGTGCTTTTGTATCTTTTTCTCGTTATCGATGGCCTGCAACAGTTGGATCTAGCGATGAACGAATGGATTGAAAGGGAATTTGATTTCGAGTCTCCGCAAACTTGTAGTCACACAAGGATAATCCTTCATGACTTTGTTTAAAACTTGCTTGAGTAATGGACTCTGAATGATGATACTATCCATTCCATTTTCTTACGAGAATCGAAGCTTTTCCGGTAGCGTACAAGAATGGCATAACGGGCGGTCTCCTCATTCTCAGCAGCATCTTCCACATCATCGGGATAATTGGCCGATCAAGTGCTATGGCCGTATCGATCTTTATTGGCCTCATACATTCCCTTAGTACCACACTCCATGCCGTCATTGATAGGAGTAGAAATGGGCATGTCCTGGCTCTCGGCTTCTGTTGACGTTTCGCAATGAGTTCAGTAATCTCAATACCGTTTGGACATGAGGATAAGAGAACAAGAAGTGAGAAGGTAGGGCGGAGCTTTGATGGTTGGGTTGAGGAAGGAGGGAGGAAGACGTGAGGGTGAATTGTGGATGCACGAAGGGAAGAACAAAGAGGTGGAAGGGGGAAGGTGGAGGACTACAAGGTGGCGAGAAGACACAGTGGTGCGACTCGATATGGAGGACCATCGATCCACTTGCCAAAATCAACATAACTTATTGTTAAGTGAATGTAGTATCGTTGCGCCATAATCGCTGTGTCTGATCAGCCTTCGTCCAAAGTTCGAGTCAAATTTGTATACTTTCACGCCATAAGTGTTTTCTCCTCTTACATCGAGCTGTATCCAGAGCTTCAAATCATGCTATCATGACACCAGTCAAACGGGAGGTATTTGTGACATGTCAGCCTTTAGAATAAACTGAGTTTGCGAAGTGGAAGATGGATGTCTCACACACGAATAGATCACTTGATCACACCACAATGCAAAAGCAAGCCGCCAAAAGGGAGTTCGTCGACAACTGGATGATGCTGTCAAATCTTTTCGATATATGAAAACCACATATATATGTGGAATGGGCCTGCTAAGGAAGACTGTCTAACGTTCGATTCTCGGTCAATAATGATAGATATTTAGTGGACGTTAAAAAGCAGTATAGAGTCAGCATCAAAGATTGCTCTACTTATAGATGAACTTTATAGCAGCCTGTGCCAGCACGGGGTAATCCTCTTTTTGTTTGGAAATTGGATAAGTTGAAAGATGTATCTCCAACTACAACTTGGAGATTTCTGATCGAGGGGATATTCAGGAGTTTCTAAACTTTGTCTCAGATATCCAATGTAGATGTAGTTCCTACTTGTTAGTGTGCAGAAGTTGAATATGATGAAAAGATTCACGTGCTGTAGCTGTCTTGCATTGTTCCAACCATTATGATTCATCCAGATTCTCTTGTACTGTCAGTGCCTTCTTTTTTGGTATTAGCTGCGTCAATGGAAACATTTAATTGATCACGTGTTGACGCACCAAAATCTTAAAAGCTCGACGCGTTTTACTTCTTTCGCCACGGATAATCTTATCTTACAGCATCTACTCTTCATCATACAGCTGAAGATAACATTTTACTTACTTCGACCTCAATTATTGATTTAAATTGACCGGCCACTTTGATCTTGAATATCAGCATGAAACGATGTTTAAATCTGTTAGTTTGGCTGCCATTGCGGCTATAAATGGTGAAGGTGTAGAAGAATTTGATACGCAGAGGTGTCTGCAACTGCAAGAAGAAATCATATCGGTAAGCCACATATGTGCTGATTTGATTGATCTCCGCTTTCACACTTTACAATCACCATTCCACAAATCACAGCATGGCAAAAACTTACAAGGGCAGCACTGACATCTTGTCTTCACCAATAGAGTAGTCCGGAGAGACCAGCCGCGGATAATGATATATCGTTTCCCGTCGTCGCGTCAAGCAATTATAGTTGTAATGTCGACGCGACAAACAATGTCCGTCATGATGCAGTAAATAGAAAACACCACCATCAACCCCAGGAAGTTTTTCATGAAATAAAGGTGGTCAGAGAATCCGATATTAATGCTCAACCATACGGAGAAAGTCCATTACCTCCAAATCCTGTACACAAAGCCGAATGGACGAGAGATGGTCTACCAGTATTGCCAACAGTAACGCGAGACAATGGAAAAAAATTGAAGCCATCCAATATTACCAGCAACCTGCTTCCATTGCCTTGTGCCCAGTTGAGAACCATGGAGGGTGAGGAATATACTCAAAAGAGTAATTTATCTTTGACTCAAGAGAATCCTGAGTCTCTTTACGAAGCCTTAGAGTTGCAAAGGTTAAGAGACCAGGCTCTTCTTGGAACAAATACCGAATTTTCTTCGAGCCCACGAATTCCAATCGAACGGGATGATCTGCCAGGTCCACAATCAAATGGCATATATGGAGATCCCAATTCGACACATACTGAGTCGACTGCACGTACATATGAGGAGAACGACACGGGGCACATAAACTTTGATACATTTCAACCAACATCGGTATCTGATGAAGGTTATTTCCAGTCAGAAGATCCGCCTGCTATTTACAGTACTCAAGATCCTGTGCAAGACACTCCTCTTGGCCCTCAGACTCCGGCTCCGTCGGTCAACCCATTTTCTGAAAAGGGTAGTGTAATGAAGCAGCATGAGCTGTTTGGCGCAACACAACCATCATCAATTGGACGACGTGGTGGCAGTCCTACATCATCCAGGCCATCGCCTGATGGTTATGAGGGATATCGATCCTCACAAGAAGTCGAACCTTCACCACTCGTACGACGCTCGGAGGTCGCTAGCGCAAGTACCCAACAATCCGAGCGATCTCTTGAACGCTCAACATCTACCGAGACACAAATTCCAATCGAATCTGTCCCAGTGTCAAATAAAATACAATCCTTCAATTCCGCTCTTCGAAAATTAACGTTGGTACGCGAACCTCAGGATATATATATATCCATGAAAGAGTCCCAAGAAAGAAGGAATAACTTAATCGTACGTGAGGTATCTTCTGGCTCGGAATCGGATTCTGATATTGAGGCACTACCCAAGAAGTTTCAAAAGGCGGCGAGAGAGAAAAAGAAGTTACGCGAGCAGACAGCCTTGATTAGGAAAAGACCAAATTCATCTGATAGACCCAATTCCGCAACAGAAGTCATTTCAATATCCGCCACAGCTATTACACACCAAAGGTCAATTAGTCATCAGCGCAAATCTTCAGAAGTGACATTTTCTCATACTCCCCAGGCCTCCGAGTCAACTCCGATCGCTGTGGAGGTTCCGGCTAGTGGTCGACGCCGAAGTATGCAGGAGGACTATATAGCCCAGTGTGATGCACGAGACACTCAACCAACACAGCAGGATATGATCGCTGATTCTCAAGGTGTTCCTTTGTCAAGCAACCTTGTTACCAGTTCTCCAGTGCCCGGACCACAAAATCGAGCGCCAGCCTGCTCTGATGTTGAAAAAGCAGGCCTGGAATCAACGAGCCCATCTCAAAGGCTACCAGAAAAGCAACAGCAGCCTCTGAGACAGGTTCCAAGTCAGCCCTTGGAAAGCAAAAACGTCGATCATGCAGATGGAATCCAAGGAAAGAATCCCACTGTATCTGCCCCGTCCGATCAGAATATGACTGCATCACCTAATGAAGCATCTGTCAGCGACGCTGTTGAAGAACTTGTCACCCAAAGACAGAATCTACCTTCGGATGGTGTCGCCTTCACTGTCCCGGAAACTAGTCCAGCTACTGATAGATTAATTCCTATGACTGAGATCGCAGAAATTTCTCTCAGCATAGCGAATAATGATGAGTTAGATGACTTGCCAGGATTTAACATGGACGATGAGTTCAACGAGGTTATTGGTGTGTCTACTCATCATACTCCGAAACACCAATCTCATTTTGATCCACCACTTGCTACTACGCCTAGTCGTTTCGACATAATCCCTAACGGCTCTGCTGGCACAGCCTCGTCGGGACTTTCATCGGCTCCCAGTACAATAGAACCTCCGACTCCTATCTTTCGAGAGGTCTCCGAAGCAGAGAAAGTTGAGTCCAACTCACCTGGAAGAGAGCTGTCGACTGAGCCTTCTCACTTGAACATCTCAGCAGATGATTCTAAGGTTGCTCCGGGAGATGTTTCTTCTCCATTGGCCTCGACTGAACATGATGCGAAGCCTACCGAAACAGCCCCGACTGAGGCGGCACATCTTCCACCCACAGAAAGAGGGCAAGGAAGCTTACATCAAAGAACGCCACGTACATCTACTCGATTATCGAAGGGCCAATTCGGAGAGCCGCCTATCACACAGCAACAACCAAGAGTGGCTAGAAATACTAGGCTTTCGAGTGTGTCGTCTACAACTTTGAATCCTCTTTCATCCACTGCTGAGTCAGATTTGGTATCTCCATCCGTTTCTAATTCTAACACGAGTACAAGAGGTCGAGCAAGAGGTCGACCCAGAGGCAGTGCTGCCACTAAGTTCAAAAAATCTATCGGGGGAACTGCTTCGCCAGCTACGAAAAGACACCATACCCGAAGCTCTGTGAGCCCGGAAGAGCAAGAAGATGCTATTCCAGCACCTATCTCAAATCGAAAATCAATTCTACCATCACAGGCAGAAAGTGAAGATCCACTGGCACTATCAACACCGCCTTCAAAAACCTCGTTGGATAGTAAGAAATCAATGGACAGTCTATTCGAGGGAATGGCTTTCGCTGTCTCATACGTGGACGCAGATAAAGATAAACAAGTTGCGATCCGTCTAATCAAACAACACGGTGGTCGAATATTAGACGACGGATTCGAAAACTTGTTTACACCAACGATTCCCCCCTCAAAATTCCGTACCGGAAATAGCGAGACTGGAGAGACGGAGCTTGAAATTGCTTCTTCGGAGGTAAACGTTGGTTTCGTCGCACTGATTGCGGATGAGCATTCGAGAAAGGCCAAGTATATGCAAGCGTTGGCACTTGGGCTCCCATGTATCTCAGGGCGGTGGATTTCTCATTGTGTTGAAAAATGTGCTATTATCGATTGGCTACCATATCTTCTCTCGGCTGGGACCTCCTCATTCTTAGGTGGAGCTGTGAAAAGTCGATATTTACGCCCATATTCTGCTTCCAATGCGAATCTCAATGATACTTTCACTCAGAGATCAAAATTGCTCGATGGGAAATCCATTCTGATCGTTACTGGAAAGGGTAAAGCTGGCGAGAAGCGGAAACCCTACACATTTCTGACTCGTGCTCTTGGCCCAACCCGCCTTGGCCAGGCACAAGATCTCAAGCAAGCGAGAGAAATGCTTCTCGATGCAGAGAGCAAACACGCCAGCTACGATTGGCTTTATGTGGATGGAAAGCAAGATGTGGAGGCAGCCGTGTTCGAAAATACCCCAGCAAGCACTTCAGCTGGTGGCCGAAAACGAAAGCGAGCTTCGATACAGGAAGAGGATGCTTCACCAGCATTGCCTAAACGCATCAGGGTTGTCAATGATGAGGTCATGATTCAAAGCTTGATATTAGGCCAACTTATTGAGGATTAGAGGCCCCCAAATTTCTATTCAAACTTTCTTTTGAGCTATTAATTCAGCATGTACGATTACGGTTTGCATAAATTATATAGCGGGACAGACCATGGACAAGTAAATTCATGAATAACTGGGTCATAAACGGCGCATGAAAAGGTGGGATTGCATGGGAGAGCTTACGTGCATCAATGGATGGGTGGGAATACCAATTTACTTTTGGGCGTTTTGCTAGAAGGGTGATAGGGAATCGATATAAAGTCGAAGTGTAAGATATATTGCGAGCTGCAGTTTGTTAGAAACTAGTTGCACGAATAATGCAGTTGATGTTCTGACTTTGTGAAGTTTTGAGAGTAGTGCGATGCTTGAATGTGCAGGTGGTATTGGTTTCTTTTGTGATGATGTAGATACCGATGGTCTTTGAGTACAGTGCATTAGGATAAAGTCTTATTCCAATTGCATGCTTTGCGCACCCTTTATCAACCATACACAATATTTCAAAATACAAAGCGGTCTTGAAGAATAGTAATTCAAGATAAGCCTCAAGTAAATCTCTGATGAACGATAGTGGATCTGCTATATTTACCACTTATTTGCTGTAGGTGCAGGCTAATGTTGATTCACTTTGAGAACGCATTGGATGCTTTTGAAGCTGAGTAAATTCATGTGCAAACCCTATCGATCAATTGAAAGTAGTATAACGCTCATCCTCAGATCTTTAGGTCTGTTGGCTCTGTTTGACCTCTGTTTCGTTCATCAATTCGGGATACATACTCAACGTGACTGGAAGGTTGTATACCTAATAAGTAACTATGGTTTGCTTTGGTGCAGAGTACTCTGTGCGGTATTCACTAGGTACCATGCGCGGGTCGTTCTTTCCAGCTTTATACGTGAGGTATATTATTACTCTCACGGTGCAAAACTATGTCACTTTTGTAATGGAGAATAGTCCTGAGTACTTTCTCTTTTTGGCACGTTCAGTTTCAGTTTCGTGGTGAGCTTCTCTTATCGCAGTATCCGATTAGATGAGCTCTTAATTACTATTACTATCATCTTTCCTCATTATAATTTGCTGTCACGGTAAGCGCCTTCCGAATTTGATGTTTACGTGACGCGTTTAGTATTTTTGTTAGTCGCGTCTGGCTGCTGCTGTCACTTTTTAGTGTGATGTACTAGTCTTTCTTAGCGTCATCTTAGTTAGCTTTTGAAAATCATTGGAAGGAACCAGTCCATTTCGAAGCCAGGCAATTACACTTAACGGCTCCAAATGTTTCAACCTTTCTAAAATCAGTTTCTAGATACATAGTTCCTTTCGGCAGGAATTATGGGTGTATATAAGGTTACATATAGATCGCCAATCGTTGGGAAGGAGGATTCGTGATAATACTTCAGTTACCTGGATAAAATGATTCCAATAGGCTTTAAGTCGACCACCCTACTTTCGGGCCACCCCTGTTTTGGGCCACTCTTTTACACCAAAAATCGCTTTTTTGGCCTATTAATATCTCTATCAATATATAATCTAATTTAATAAAAATTTAAATATATATAATTTAAGCCATTTAAGGTTTATTCTGAAATTTTTAGATTTTTAGGATTTTTCTGTATTGAGATCTAGAGCTTCAAAATATCGATTTTTTAATTTGTATAGGAATTACATATAAATTTAAAACTTTTATAAAATCTTTAATAACTTTTTAACAATAATTATTAAAAGAAAACTATATATCTTTTTGAAAGTTTTGAATTTAAATTTATATAGAAATTCAAAAAAAAATTAAAAAAAATTAATAGATATAGAGATATAGTATATAATGAGTTTAGAGTAGTATAAATAATTCCTGTAATTTTGAAGGTATTCTTTTAAATATCTATTTATAGGAAATTTTCTTTTTTTTCTAAATCTTTTAAAATAGATATATTATAAACTTATAATAAAACTTTTTAGTTTATTTTTAATAATTTTTATTAAAAAGTTATTAAAGATTTTATAAAAGTTTTAAATTTATATGTAATTCCTATACAAATTAAAAAATCGATATTTTGAAGCTCTAGATCTCAATACAGAAAAATCCTAAAAATTTAAAATTTTCAGATTAGATTTAAAACAATCTGAATTATATATATACAAATTTTCAATAAATTCTATCTATAAATAAGAAAGTTAAAAATTCCATTTTTTGAGATTTTTAGTGGTAAAGAGTGGCCCAAAACAGGGGTGGCCCGAAAGTAGGGTACCCGACTTATAGCACGAAACTAACGAAAAAAAAATATATACTTTTAAAGTACTTCACGCTTTCACAACCTTCTAGTAGTCGGCAAAATCAAAACCTACAAGTACTCATCTTCTCATCAGTTTTTCTGATTTTCTTCTCTTTTTCTCTTTGGCCCGATCTCGATTTTCACAGTGTACGTATCCTCTCCTTCCAACACTCCATATCTCTCTTTGGTATTCCACTTTGCTAATTGATACGCGGAACAGTCCACGACATCCATCAAAGAACTCCAATAGCAACAACAACAAGAACAACCATCATGTCGGGATCAGAGGTAAGACACCCTTTCATAATGTCTCTCCCTTGGTCTGCCAGCCTTCACTTTCTCTATATACATGGCGTAATATCCCCAATGGGAGTTGTATTACCATTCCTCCTCTTTGAATGACTTGGGCATGTACGACTCCTATAGATCAGTGGGATCATCAAACCAGCCTACTTTGGTATGGGGGAGTTGTCCTCAGACTTTTCGGGGAGCAGTTGCCTTGTATGAAGCAGTGGTTCAAAAAAGAAGCGAAATCCTACTTGAAAAAGTAGGCATAGTTGGACGCTCGGGATGCAGTTTCACCCGGGCGGAGCGTTAGGAGCTTGCCGAGTACTATGGTCGTGTGCTGTGCGTGTATCACCGGCCAGTCCGCTTCCGTTCGACCCTTTGAGCTGTGCGTGTATCACCGGCCCAGAGACGATCTTGAACACTCTCTTGAGATGCTGGGCCCTGGGTCAGACATTGGTGTCTTACTCAGCATTGCACATCGCTGACAGCTGTCTTATATAGAATCGTCGAAGATACCAGCCTCGCTCCGAAGTTCGTCGGGCCGCCGCGGCGGAGATTCCCTCTCTTCCTCCGACCCTCACCAACGACCATCACCACATACATTTGACGAACCAAGGTGATGGTCGTTCCGTAGAGGAGGAGAGGGATCTCCTTTTATTTGTAAGTCACCCTTGTCTCCCCGTCTTTCTATTGGTTCAATCTATCTGGTAGTATGAACATGTCTGATTGTCCAATTTGCTCTGATGGTCTATGATCAAGTGATTATTTACATTGATCTGATTTACCCCGATCACTTAGTTGTTTGGAATGATCTCATTGTTTGAAGTGCCTATATTGTTCCAAAGCTAACAGTACATTTAGGAATATCAACTGCGGGAGGAGGAGACGGTGCGAGCTGCCGGGCTCCAACTGGAGCAAATGGAGTTTGTAAGCAATCCATAGCAAACCTAGCCCCGAATATCCAATTTCTAATCGTACGATCAGAATCATTATCTCCGAATGAGGGAGATGAGGTTGGACCCGGGGTTCCGGGAAAGAGAACTCCTCCTTCGGGAGCGAGAGATGGGCCTTCGGGAACGTCAGTGGCGCCTTCGGGCACAGAAGATTATTTTCTTCTCTTTTTTGGCGCTCTTCGGAGCTTATGTTTTAATTCTGTTTCTCCGCCTTCGGGCAAACAACTATGTTGCGGAGGGAGAGGGAGGAGAGGGGGGGAGAGGGGGGAGAGGAGATTGAGTGGGTGAGTGAGGTGGTGGAGGTGGTGGCGGGATGGGTGGAGGGAGAGGTGGATGGTTGAATGAGTGGGTGGATATGGATGTATAGTATTTTTTACTTCTTTCATTTTTTCCTCCTGTATTTTTTTGTTTTCTTTTGTTCTTTTGGGCGTTTGGCGTTTGGAGTTGGAGTTGGAGCTTGGAGTTTGGCATTCGGCGATTTTGCTTCTCTTTTGTATTTAATTTTGATTTTTTTTTCAATTTAGTATTCATTGTCCTTCACATTAAAGTGGATTTTCAGACGAGAACAATATTTCATACGAGCTGAGTGAATAAAATCGATTGGAGGTATCAAGTCAGTTTGGTCAAACAAACTTCAAAAGATGACAAGTAGTTCAAAACACATATCCTCCTTGTTCTTATTTCATCAAACAAATGATCGTAGATCCTATCAACTTCTCATGTCTTCCTCGAGAGCTAGTGAAAGTCTCATAATAGATATCTCATTCTAGCCCCACAACTTAATCTTTCTCTTCACTCACCAGAATACTTGTGCTAGTAGCCTCACTCGACGCCACCAAAGTATCCCTCCAAGTGAACCCCCCCATCATCAATTATAATCGGCGAGAAAACTCGATAGAGTAGGTGTGGGCCAAAACCCACTATCATCCCAGGTAGTAGTACCTGTCGCAGTCGTCGTAGCCGTACAAACTCCAGCCGTTATCGTCTCAGTCGTCGTATGTTCGATGGGCATAGGATCGATGACTAAAGTCACCGTTGTAGTCGCTGGTTCACATATTGCGGACGATGCAGGCAGGAATGGAAAATCCGCCGTGACGCTACTGGTTATGGTGATGATGCGTTCGGAGATTTGATCACCGTCGGGTGGGTATACGGTGGTGGTCGTGGCGCGCAGTGATTGCCAAGGAGTGGGATCACAGGGGTAATGACCTGCTTAGTAAGTTGTAGTGGTTGTGTAAGTGAGATAGTCGTAGATGGCTGTTACTAGAGTTGTGGTGAGGATGTTTGTGGTGGTGGTACATGGTGCGGAGAGATCTGGACGCGTTATGAATTGCGTGGTTGTGGTGGTGGTTGTGGCAGTAAGACGATTGGATAGTATTTGGTCGGCGACTAGTGTTATGGTAGTAGTTACTGTCTTGACGATTCCATCGGCGGTTCGGATGATAGTTGTGGTGGTGGGTATGGAGGTTGTGATGGTTTGGGTTTGAATGGGTGGATAGGTGGGACAGATTGTTATGAATGCGGTGGTGGGAACTCCGGGGCCAGCATAACAGGAACAGACTGATGAGATGGAGGACTGGATGGCAGTATTGCTAAGACCTTTTATGCATGCGCTTGCGGGTCCTTTCTTGTCGAATATAAGGGTGTTTTTGCGTCCGGGAGAGGTAAATGAGGAACAGAATGATTGGATGTAGGTGTTAGAGGAGGTGAAAGCTGTGGCCCAGGCACTTTGACAAGAATTTCCTATTAGAGAATGTTAGACATTGCGAGAGAAGGGAAGGGCGATTGTATTTTAGAGTTTAAAGAGTGAGTGGGTGATATGGATTAAGACGAAGGGAGAATAGAAAACCGACATCCATACTTCCACATCTTATACTAACGGTCGATGTAGTACATGTGATAGGGATAGGATCTACAATTGGAGAGGGACGAACTGTAGGAAGATCACGTTGTAATGGGGGTGGAACATTAGCAGCATATACATGAGCCGCAACAACGAAGGCGCACAAAAGCCGAGCTAAATTAGAGACTCGCATCATATTGAAGGAGAGAAAGGATATGATAACAGATACTGGTGTGTACATCCTCGTGATTAGGGGATGCATCATGATCTTTATATGTTCAATCTTACGGCATGTCCGCAGTACTGAGACTTGTCACTAAATCCTACATTCCAACGTCACACGGGTCGTTGCGGAGGACTTTTATGGTGGCAGTAGCGATGAGTCAATACTACCAAGTAGAAGAATCTCCAACCCCGCCATCGATATAGCCTGACATGATAGGTCAATTTGGCGCAGGAATATCCCTTATAATTTTGGTGGAGGTCAGGAGAATACCCACATTCCTTTTTCGGTCTTGGCGGAATTTTCTCATATTTCTAGAGCTGGAGAAGTAAAATTTCTTCGGGGTTTTCGGTTATTGTGAAGAACTCATGATGTTTTGCATGAGATATATCGGGTTCATCCGTTGGATGGAGATTGGATGGTGCTAGATTAAGGTCAAGATACTCGGTGATCCAAAATAGAAACTTCGTTCGGTCATTTTTAGAAAGCATGAGAAGTTATATGTCTAGAGATCTCTAGGCACTTAAGATTCTATCTTTAAGTGACCAAGGCGCGAAAAGTCCGGGGAATTTTGCCTTAAAAATATATCATATGGTAGCTGAAGAATTCTTATCTTATACCACACAGACTGATGTGAATTTCAAAAAAAAAATCTTTCTATAAATGAAAGTGGTCATCTATCCCAGGGGACTTTCTTGAAGCGGTCAATAAATACAAATTACTCGAATTTCACCAACCTCTAGCATCTCTTAGTTGGTGTCTGAAAAAGTCTTTCGCATCGATATATTTCAACAGAGGAAGAAAGACGTTAAAGAGTGTGTGCGTTCATATATGTGCTGACTTCGGACATGTATCTTACTTGAAGTTTTACGAGAGAGTACCAGATTCATTGATCAAAGCGCCAACACCGTAATATACATTAATGACCTCTCCATCTAGCCCTCCCTCTCCACGCATCACTACCACACGACGTTGGAGCACCAACCAAATTCTGAAGACCACGCAAAAAAGCATTGTTCTGCCCGAAAGCTATTCAACTTCCGTAACGTCTATTTCTGGCTGCTAAAAGAGATCTCGTTCCCGGTCACGGAACGACCATTTCAGCCCCGGATCTGGGAGTTTGTGGTTCTAATAATGTAGAGACAGAATTAGGACAACCGAATACTGCGATGATTTCCTTGCGAGGATCAGTTTCTTTATTCGCACGCTAGAAACATATTCAGTCTCGTGCTCGCTCCAACCCCTTCGCGCAAAGAACATTCCTGGTCGTACAATTAAATGTAGAACAAATGAGTACCGAAAGAAACTGAAGATGATCACATGGCTCTTACACTAGCTATTCAGAAGTTGGTGCTAAACAGTGGATAAATTGTTGAAATAGTCTCACGATTATTTCTCTGATTGGAGATCTAGAGTTAAACGTCTCTGCTGTGCACAGATTGTTGCCATTCGTTAGTCTGGAAAATCAGTTTCTAGTTTGGAAAGACATCGGCACGAATGATGAGAAACGCCTGTTCTGGACGGGGTTTGCGTCTTACAATGAATTTTGGGAGTTGTTTAAAGCATGACGAAGTCGAAGTCTGTCCTAAGTGATTTTGGACAGCGTGGTAAATTTCGATCGTATAGCTGATATCTAAGACATGGCATGATGGAGCGGACTTCCTCCGAATGAAAAAAATAACCCTTAAAACAAGCCAAGTAGATTTCGAACTTCATGATATCAGATCATACCGTTGTATCTCTGCTCATCATTGAATGGAAGCTATTCTTGTCTCGTTCTACTCTTTCAAGTTGTACCTACACTCCAGATTTTGACAAGAGCCGCTAGCTAAGTAGTGCAATCACATGTGGCAGGAGACAGCGCAAGAAACTGGCACCAGTCTCTCGTTTGAGTAAGGTACCAAATTGCCATGAGATTTGAGAGAGCATTAAATTATACATTCAGAAAGGGAGAAAACCGGAGAAGATATTCTTGACAGAAAAAACCTGAAATTGGTTGTCCATATCGAGAAAAAACCAGTATACTGCAAGAAAATTTGGATGAAATATATCGCAACTCCGTTTCTAGCCAATCAACTATATTAATAATCAAGACCTAGAATCTCAAGGGTTTCCAAAAGCAGAAGCAAAGTAAAAAATGATGAAGCGATTCTCAATTTGTTGGTCTACTGGCCTTTTTTCCATTCCAAGTACCTTCAATCGTTCCTAGGATACGTACCATTCCTCCATCCCTCTCCCATTTCTATCTGATCCCCGCTAATCTTCCTTCTTCCCCCCATAAGCTACTAATCCACTCATTCGACCCTTTTCTCTCTCTCCCTTATCTTTCCTCCTCCTGTGAATCATCCCATCTATTCTCCCTAACTTCTCTATTCCACAGCTACCCCATAGACCATAAAATACCATACCATTATTCAATTAACCTTTCACAAGAAACGGAGGCTTCAAAGAGGTGCAAGATTTTTCAGACGCCAGAGATCAAGTGGTCTAAAGTTAAACAAGTTCTCCCGTGTTATAGTTCCCAAGATAATCTTTTGCCACCATCCTTGTTATGCATCTCAGGTTGTCAGAGACTCAGAGCCAAAAGACGATTTCCTGACAACATCGAAAGAATTGCCGGGTGCGATATGAGAATGAAGACTGCTTTTCTGGTCCACAATCTTTACTGCCCTGTTTATCGCAGAAATGCACTTGGCTCTCTCCGAAAGCAGAATGGCAACGATCCCAGGCATCTACAGATCCTTTGCTTTCAAGCAAGGTGTCTTTCACAGATTCCACTTCAATACTCTTCGTGAAACTATAAAGGCTCAATGTGTTTCGAAACTCTTGCAGTTGGAGTTGTATTTGGTAAAACGAATGTTGTCCGTGGCTCTAGGCAGCATGAAGAAGCTTGCAAAGATACTTCAAATGTCAAAATCTCCACACCTTTACCAACTTATGTGAACGTCATCACGAAGTTCAGCAGAGGACACATGGATTGAATTCCAATTATCGAGATAAATATTAGGAGTCAGAAGTATTCTTCTCTACGATTATCACGTGTAGCGTACCCCGCTCGCTTCTCCTCCACCCCCTTTTTTCATCTCACTTCATCCCATCAATGCTTACCTAATAACAACTAACTCTTGGTCAAGCTACCTCCACTTCAACTTCCCGTTCCACCTACTAGCGACCAACCCACCCCACTCACAGACGCGTTGCCACGACACGACATCATAATCCACACCTGCCATCCGCATCGGCACGACTTTCCGATCCTTCCGTGCGCATACATCGGGCTACGATCAAAGGAGGAAGGACTCGAGGAAATTCTCCATGACAGACATGATGTGTATACACGGGGAAGAATGTAATAGGCAAGAAGCGTGGGATTTGAGGCTGGACAGCGGGGCGGAGAGATGACACGTGAGATGCTGAAAGAGAAGTCGGCAAATGATCGGATTTTATGAGATGGGATTTTGCGGGGCGAGAAAGGTAACAAGATACTACTTGCAAGAGTACTACTCTTGAGCTACTCTACTCCGTGTAGTAGTAGTAAATTCTTGATCGATTCAGTCTATCTATAGCTAAGCTACGCTGACTATGCTACTCCGTGTACATTAATAGTATTATCTCTAAAATTGCCTTACTTGTCGACGACCTTGTTGGATAGATATTATGTAATAAAGAGTAGAGAAACGGGCCAAGGGGAGCCAATATGGTAAAAAACGAAGTGAGTTTGTTTAGTTCCGCGCGATACATTATCCGCGCACAGCCTGCATCGAAATCCACGAATCAAAATCACCACCGTAAAACTCTCTCTGCCAAGCGCGAAACTAAATCTCTAGTATCGCCCAAATCCGTAAATCGACGAATCGGGGATAATGTTACTCAAGGCAGACAAATTTCCACCCGCTAGAAACCATCATGAAGATCTTCAGGAATCAAGGAAATTATGATCGTTTAGTATGTGGGCCACAGAAAAAAAAAAGAATATTATTCAGTTTCAGGAAACAACAATCGAGCGCCAAGAGAAAGCGCTCGTGTAGATCCCTCGTCGGAAGATATTTGATACGCAGCCCTATGATTATATGCAGAGACGCCATGGTCAGGAACCCGGTCCAGCGGCAAGAGACCTACTGGAAAGAAAAGCTCCGAAACGACCCATGGGAATGTGAAAATGATAGACCGGTAGAACAAATGGAATACGAAATGGAGATTTAGATACGGCCTCGCCACTCCTAGGATGATGAAGGGATTTAGGCGACGCTCGATGTGCTTTGGATCAACTAGTGAAATGTAACGTTGGAACCGTTTTTCGAATTGATCGACAAGCGAGGAATAGAAGACAATGAGACGTTTGAAGGATGGTTGATCGTCTCTTGACCGCGCGCCTAGTGTAACCACTGGAACAAGATGTGGATTTGATACCGGTAGTAGCACAGCATCCAAGGTACGGAGAAAACTCCGTATGTATCTTTATTGATCCTGTGACTTTGGTTATATTAAATAGCCAACTCAATGTTTTATGAATGAAATCATCAACTCTATGACCGACCGTACATAGAACCTCAGCCCACCAAGAGACATGACGAAATTTGTGAGCTCCGTTTCACATGGAAAGATATCCGCCAAGGCTATAAGTAACACAAGTCCATCAACCCATATGCCGCCAGGATGCAACATACAATCGAGGCTGAAGCCGATTCGGCATCAAGTGAAGCGCACCACAAGACATCTTTGATAAAACGAATCAAAGCTTGCCAATCCGTTACCGAGTCTTCGGAGAGGGTTCCGATCGATAAGAATGTGATGATGTGATAATGTTGTGATAGTAAGTAATGTGGCTTTTGTGGCAAGTGAGGGGTTGGATATTAGTGTTTCGATTCTGGCTCATGATGAGGGACAGACGAATAGATATAATCAGTAATTGAAACGGGACCAGCCAAATCTCAACCCGAAAATGAAGTCGCAATGGGAATAATCATATAAAACGCAAGACAAATACACAGCATCAAGAAAGAGTTGGTGTTTCGATTTTGGTTTCTGATGGGGGGACGAATACATATATTTTGTAATCGAAATGGAAAATAATCAAATCTCAGCTAGATAACCTTTATATAAAATTGCTCTATAAATCATAATACATAACGCAACAAAAATACAAGTAACCTTAGTCGGAGTGAAGAAAATTCCTCTCTCCTCCCCCTCACTACCAATTCCCGCCCACTCATCAATATTGATGTTTCGAGTTTTTGATTTTGATATTCATGAAAGTTGAGGGGTAAATAGGTAAACAAACAAGTAAGCGCCATTACAAGACATCAATCCCAAACAAGGCATAAATGATAGCACGATCCTAACTCGCCATATGCTACATCTCCAAGCTAAATCAACACAAAAGAATTCCTGCTCCCTTACCCGATTATATATTTTAACAAATGGATATTTCGATCTTACTTACTAGTGGCACATCATATTCCTAATCCGAAGCATTGAGGAGACCTCGAACAAATATGTAAGTAAGGTAAGCGCCAACCGTCAATTGTGCAGTTGGAATGAGGGGTATGAGGGGTATGAGGGGTTAGATATGCAACATGACATTTCCGAATATGAATTGTGCGATTAGGATACGCTAGCTAGTTTAGGATAAATATGAAAAGGTGATGGAGTAATTTATTTTAATTTAGAGAATGGTGATGTGAAGGATGTTGGGAAGATATGAGAGAAGGTAGGTGTTGTATGAAGTGTGTCTAGCTAGGTAATCTTACATGGAGGAAGTCCCTCCTACCCATCTAATGAGGAGTAGATATGCAGCAATACTTCTTTGATCATATGCGATTAGTGAGGATACACATCTGCAGCGCAGAATGTATTTTCCCACTAAAACTGTAATCGGAGAGCATATCACATACACATACACATACAAATAAACACACCTGACCAATGACAATGCATTCGCCTCTAAGCACTATATCCATCCACAGACTCGACACTTGATACATGCATACATTTCCCCTCATTATGAAGAATCCTTGGGACGCCCATATTCCATTGCATTGAGGGGTTCTTGGCTTGACTAGATATCTATATGCTTATTAAGCTATACTTGCTCGCTCGCTCGCACACCCCAGCTTGCCGACACATGGAAGATTTCCGAGCGGTCGTAGCCGATATATATGATTAAGTTATAATCGCCAGTCTACTTGATTCTCTCCACTTCAAGCCTCTATACTCTGCACATGCAAACACACTAACAAAGAAACCAACATCCCCATCAAGCCTTTCTCCACCCTAGTAATCTTCTTGGCTCTCCAAGTCTACTCTACTCAAACTTTACTCCCCCAACATCCATTTCCTACCCACCCACACCACTTTAGGTATCTTATCCACTCCCCAAAGCTTTGTGATTGATTATTCTCCAAGTTTTACGAACCGATCTCGTCTATCTCCATACTTCGTATACATATACCTACCTACCTAGATACCCAGATCCTGTATATAATCTAGCACCGCTCAGCCAATCTTCACTACCTAGATGCCACACATACCTATCTCGAGATTCACCCCCAGTTCCTCGCATGCATACTTGAGCTACCTACTTACCTCCTACCTACCTCCCTAAACACCAATCCATAATAAATCCATCCACACCACACCGCACTACGCACCAAATCCAAACCCCAAGTCCCAATTTCCCACACCCATCTCACCTCTCGCATCTCCTGCCCGCACCATAAACAAACGGACCGAATCCCTCCTCATCACAAACCCAAACCCAAACCCAAACCCAAAACCACCCCATCGGACAAGTCCTAGACTGATTCCTTAGTATCCCTTTCTAGTGTCCCGCCAAGACGCGATGAGTTTCCCGAGAATTGTGTTGCTGTGCTAGCTAGGGGGGATGGGATTAGCTACCCGAGCTAATTACGTTGTACCTAGCTAATTTGTACTTGGGATTGGGATTGTAGTTGGATTCTCTATTGTGCGTGTTGTTTGATTTGCGGGAATGGAGATGGAGATGGGAGGGAGTTTAGATTTAGAGGTATGGATATATATAGGAATTACAGTGATGAGTAGGGAAAATAGTGCACCAGATAGGATGTAAAGGGATGGGATATGGAGGGGAGTTGAAGTGAATGAAACAATACTGTGATTTGCTAATGCCTGAGGGAGAGAGATAGTTTGTGACAATCGTCTCGGTACTAGCGAAGTGTAGCTTGAAGGTTTAGCTGTACTTTGTAGGGTTTTCGTTCTTGGTAAAGAGATGCTTGTACACTATACTATCTCTCTCGTGAGTGACCTACAACGGAGAAAGATGTTTAGCGGGAAGATCAATGACTATGATGTAAGAATGAAGTCATACGGTTTCACAATATATATTATATACCTACCGGTAGAGTGCTAGAGTACTTTCACAATGCATAGTCTGTGTGTAAGTGTAAAGCTTTGATGTTTCCGTGTCGATTTTTGGATTGATTGATGGATAGAGCCGAGGGAAGAGCTTGGATGATGGGTAGGTATGATCGTATATGGTATGGTTACATCTTAGTACTAGAAGTCAGGGAGTACTAGGAGGTGGTATCAATTGATACTAGCTGAAGCTATAGATATAAGTGTCTATAGAATGGAAATGCATCTGGGTATAAAGCAAGGCAAATAATTATATTGGGGAAGGGGAGATGGAAGGATTTATAGATCTATATCAAAATATGTCGATTTTCGCTTGTCTTCTCTTTCGTGCATATGATATCGACAGAGTATTGCATTTGATATGTATCTAACTCCCGACGATGACTCAGTAAATCTTGACATATCACCTGAAGAGGAGAAAGATATATTCATTGTAAATTTCCCAAAAATCGCAAGACATCAATCTCCCAATCCCAACTCGAATCCTCCAATCCGGACATCGAATACGGAGCAACGAGAGTCTTCAGCACAATACGATGGACAAGCCAAGCGCCTCTTCTCACCCCCACCCCACCCCAGCAAACCCACCATCAACACCCACTCAAAGATAAGAAGAAAAAAATGAAAAATGAAAATAAAAATAAAAAAACCACAAAAATCTCCAATTCTCATGAATATCGATATTTCCTACCCTCCAAAACCCATCCGGTACCGAAATTCCCAATTCCACTCTTTCCTATGTTGTCCCCTGCTCATCGCTCAGCACATAATTATCAATGCACGTTTTTTCTCGCCTCTCAAAACTTGGATTTTCATTTGGAAGTGGAGGATGGACAGGGTCCGGAGCAGGGATACTGGAATAGGGCAAGTGTGTTCACGCGCTTTGGGATGCGAGAGTCCTAGCGTACTGGCGATTTGCTGCTTTGGATTCGTTGCAGCGGGTGGAATCCGTCGTGGTGATGGGGTACGTGGTGTGATGATTGGTTTTGGGGAGGGGTGGGAGGACGGCTTGGGTTAGGATGGGGGATTTGGGTGGAAGCTTGTTTTGGGGATGGGGTATGCTTGTGGTATTATATACGGGATAGTAGATAACACAACATGCGATTTGAGATGCAATTGGAAAGGCGAGGGAGGGGTGGATGGCCCGTTTGGTTCAGGTCTGCATACACGCCATAGGAGGGGAAACACGGGGGGAAGTCTATCTTGAATGTTCATGATGGACGAGATGTCTCAAGATGTCGATCGGTCATATATCGATATTGAGAGCGGAGGTGTACACGGTATGTGATGGTTTCTGCTATGATATATGTGACAGGATTAATGGAAACCTCGCTAGAACTTCACAGATAGTTGATTGTGCGGAGTATGTACTCTACGAGATGCGAGATTCTCTGCGTCTACTTCGCACAGAGGAAGTTCCCCCTCCCTCCTCCACCCACCCCCAGTCTAACGCCGGTGTCCACTCACCTAAAGAGGTTGTCTCCCGAAAAACAGTTGGTATGCGGAAAGATAGAAATGGACGTGGATGTGGTCCGTGGAAGAGCGAAGAGCAGAGATGCCGGTCAATAGAAGATGTTGATAATGAACATGGTCTTGGCAATCACGAAAATCGTACCATGATACGGCGATATCTAAAAACTGTGACGTCTTTAGAAGTTTCGAGTGCTTGAAAATTTCGAGATACGATACTGAGATACGATATTGTATTATTCCATCCGATGAATAAGAAAGACTCCTCTGAGTTTTCCTAGGATGAGCAATCAATGTAACCATCAACAACCAGATATTGGTACGAACTATGCTTACTCACGTCAAGTCATAGGATGCTTGATTCCAGCTGAACTCAGTGTAAAAGGACTTGCCGATGAGCTGCTGAGGACTACATGTTTAAAGTAGTGTCACATTAAAAGTCATCTGGAGATCTCCGACATACATACATGTATACCTAGCATACATCAAATGCATATATATATTATACATAAATATATATTAACTGCACGGTGAAGATACCGTATATACATACATATATCCCTAGCACACCCCCATTTAATAAACATCATGTTGTGGCATATATCGATGACAGCTGTGAAAGGAACCCACACACCGGGATTTCTCAGGTACCGCAAAGTCCGTAACAGCTGAATGTGATAGTGATCGATAGATAGTCCGGAGTCGATACCGAACCAGCGGGAAGATTTCTCGGAACGTTTGGTTCGGTTGAGATGATCACAGGTAGGTTCTCTACTATGGGATTTTATGCATAATGGATGATTAAACTTGGTTTGGAAGGTTTGGCGGGGATGGGGATTGGAAGAGGGTAGGTAGATTTTATTAATTAGAGGGAATCAATGGATTTGATATTTTATGTAACCTTAGACACTTGAATAAAAAGGAGAGACTTTGGTAGGACCGCTAATTGTAGGTCAGTAATCTTGAAGCATGAAGCAAGAAAGTAAGTACGGAGTAGACAACATCTGGTAATCAAATTCAATCAAAATGGATGAGACAAGTTGCTGTTATGGTTGTGTATGGTTGTGTATTTCTGATTGCTTACACCATCATTTATGATTCATCGTCCTTCTATCAATTCGATTCTTTTCCAACTCCATATTGGATATCTCGTACACTTGACAAACTCATGACAACTCGTGACTATCATCTTCTCTTGTGCTTGAACGTATAGATTATGACAACACCTGAATTGCTTCACATTCATTGACCCATTGGCGTATTGATACTTGAAAATTCAAACCCTCGGTCTTATTCTTATCGATCTTACTCCAACCGGACCAGTCTGATTTATTTTCCCAGCTGTGATCCAACTGTGGAGTATTATTCCTCCACACATACACATCCTCGAAAAGGCTTCAACCCTTCATCAACAACATATGATTGGTAGACGGTTACGCACGTTTTCCGAATCCTATCCCAAAACGAATTCATTCACGAAATATCGGAACGGCGACGAGATAATCTTGGGCTAGTACTCCATTCTTGAAGGAAGATACTAGTACGTCCACCTACTTTACTTTAGACCGAGGGAAGAAAAGTCAAGCAATCCAAGGCACAGTTCACATTCTGATCTATCTGTCGCTTGCATAAGAAGGCACTTTTAAGACGAAACTTACTGCCTTCAATGCTCGGGTTGGTGTGCATCGTGGTGAAGGATCATACCATGTACGATACGGGACTATCTAGATACTAACGCTTAAGCTTGAAGGTTAGATCTTTGGGCGTGGCTGAACTACTCTGCACCCATACCGTACTTTCCGACATACACGCCGCTTTGCAATGCAATCCAATCACAAAGACATCATAGTGTTCCTTCAAATCATCCAACCTTAGAAGCGCTAGAAGAGTACGAGGAAGCAATCATTCGCGAGCATTCACACGAGAGGATCCTCCAACCAACAAACGATGGCGAATGTACAGTGAATCACCCCTGAAGGAACTTCCATGTTGGATTGGATTCTGAGGGGAAAATAAGTTCCGAAGTATTTAAGCATTATTTAGAAGAATCGCTAGGCAGTAGGCATTAAGAATGATTAGATTAGACCAGGAACAAGTCAAGAAATGACCCAGGGAAAGATCTTGGACAATCATAAATGATAATATTAAGCAGCGATAAGGTTGCTCTCACCTGGGTATCTAAAGAGCGAACAGTGAACAATCAAGAGAACAATCAACACGGAGAAGTGACAAGGTTACCACACTCACTATCTTGCACATTTTGTACCATTTTAGCTTCTTACATACAATACAACACCACCACCACTATCCGATCTCTATCCAGCGTAGCATAATCACCATTCGACGATTTGTTACTCTCTACGCCTCCAATCCCAACTAGATTTATCCTTTCCCGCCGCTCATATAGGCATAAAACATAAAAACACAGCTACACATTCACGCACCCACGCACTCACGCACTCAACGCACCAACCTCAGCACAATCCACCGGTATAACTTACAACTTACAACTTACAACCTTCGAATGCCTAACTAGGGTTATCTTTCACCGAAGAAGTAAAGTACCCAAAGCGTGTTAGTCTTCACTAGAGATGTCACTAACTAGGTGGGTAGCTAACCAAACTCAACCATTAATCATTAGTAGATATACTATACCGACTTATCACTCGAATTATTCAAAATCACTCAAATCACTCAAATCACTCCATTCACTCCCATTCACTCCCATTCACTCCCCATTCACTCACTTCACACTTCAACTCACACTTATTAATTCACGCTTCACTCACCACCTTATCCAATACTACCTAGGTAATAAATAACCATCCCTAGTCATAATATATATCTTCTACCTACCTACCTAGTAATTAAATCAAACAACAATAACAACAACTTTATCCTCTCTCTCCCCCCCCCCCCTCCGCCTAATACTTTTCCGATCATAATTCCTCCCAAGTCTCAGAGTCTCAAATCTCTCAAATCTCTCAAATCTCTCAAATCGTCCCTCCTTCCCTCCCTGACTTCACACATCCAAATTTATACCCGTCCTCCCGGTTTATCCATCTTCCTACCATCCTCTTTTTCCTTTTAAACCATACCACCCGGGTCCATCGCTCCTTTACTTATTCTTCAATTGAAAACGAGTGGGATAATATCGACCTAGTACCAAACACACCTACTTCTTCCTCCTTGCTTGCTTACTTTCTTTCTTCCTTTCTTTCTCCTCTTTTTCTCCTCTTTTTCTTTGTATTGTGATGGTGAGGAAAGACAGGAGGAAGGAACTTTGATTATTATATGAAATATCCCCAAAGACCGGCCATCCAATTCACACCCCCCTCCCCTTCTAACCCCGAACTCAAACACCAACCTAAGGGGAGAAAAAAAAAATTAAGCTTGCTCCAAGCCCTTTCCATACCATCCATACACTACCACCATTCGATTTCACGCCAACCCCCCCAAAAAAACTTACGCATACATACCACCGTATCTCGATTCTTAAAGGCCTCACTTTGGCACTACTCTTTTTAGCTTCATAGGAAAAAATAATTCCTTGGTCGATAGCCTCGCAGTACACCCTCTAGCCAACTACAGCTTACTTGGATTAATCTGAACCTCTTACGAGCCTTTACGTTTTGTATGCGACCAATTAAATCCTTCTTCTGATTGATTCCTCATTATTGTCCCCGCAGTCTCCGTTTCTCACACATCAATATGATGGCCGATGTCCCTCGAAGGAAACCAATGCCACCTGGTTTCCAAACTTCTCCTTCTGCTCCTTCATACAACAATCACAGCCATACTCGTACGATCTCTTCCAATACCTTCCCTTCCATCAATTACCCGCCTCAACCTCAAAACCCACAAACGCTCTATCCCGGAAATATGCAGATAAGCGGTTTCTCTTCCAGGAGAACGCCTTCGACGGGTACCTTTTCGACAACGGCGAGCAGTGGGAACGGTCCTGTGCCATATCGTGGTTCGCAAGACTTGAGGAGATCCACGTCTTCACGATCGGGAAACTTACAACCTCAAGGCTATGTGGCTCTGATGCGAAAACAAAAGGCGACGGTGTGGTGTGATAGATCGCAACATGAAGATCCACGATTGATCGCTCAACAAAAAGCGGCCAAGGAAAGAGCAGCGGCTGCAGTACTTGGTGGGCCCCTACAAGGAAGGATATCTACTGGTGGCACAAACAGTTTAGTGGGAAGTAATCGAGTGACGGCGAAAATAAGACATCATGGGAAAGCTGGGTTGGTAGGATATAGTCCCGGAGATCTTGTCGGAGGTGTAGTCGGTGTGCCAATGAGATTAAGTGCTAGTGAAGTGGAAGGTGGAGACAGTGATGATGATGGAGATAGCGGAAGAGTTTTATATCATCGCAGAACGGGTTCTGGACGCAGCAGTGTTGGCAGTGCTAGGAGGGGTCTTACATATTCACGACAATCTGGTGCAAGTTCGACAGCTGGCAGATGGAGCTCAGGCCACACGCCACCTAGCGAAAGGGAAAGACGAGAATCTTTCGCCGATGTGGCAGAAGCTGGAGAGACGCCTGTTCCGATGGATCATCCTAATGCGAAGAACTATTTTGAAGGTGGTGACGGAACGAGAAGTGCAGGAGGAAGTATTAGTAGTGGAGAACGCGCAGATGGTATTGCAGATTTAAACTCGAATGATGCAGCCAGATTAGCAAGTAATAGCTTGCTGAAATCAACAATTACACGCGAAAAGAGTGTTAAAAATCCTGACGAATTAAGGAGGAGAGGAAGTGTCGATGAACGGACCACGACAATGACTCTAGGTGCTGGTCGATTATTTATTGCCAACCCAGATCATTCGGACAGTGATTGAGACAGTTTGGAGAAACACTCTATGAGTTTAAAAATATGCGATATCAAGGCACCTGCAAGGAACCTGCGAGTACGAAAGGAGATACCTTTAGACGACGGAATTCACGTCACAAACATCACATCACCTTGATGAAAAATAACATTACTTCGTTTTGGAGCAAAAGAGCAAAGCAAGCAACTGCATTCAAAAGGCGTAGCATTGGAGTACTTTGGGATTACATGGCAATATCAATTTGGATTGGTTTATTGGGGTTACTTGTGGTTGATATACAGTCTTCCTTTTTATACATGGAAGTGGATGGTTTTGGATTGGGCATATGGTGCTTTAATCAACGTTGCTTGTTTGTTGA